ATAATTTTGAGATGGTGGAGAAGATTGGTAGCTCAGGTAGATGATTGTGATGGTGGTGGTGTTTGGTTCTCTGAACTGGTTATGTTTTGGTTGTGGAGCTTTCATCATTATTCTGAACAACATCATCTTCACGTTTGACCCGTAGCTTGTTCTGTTAACCTCGCGATTTTGATTGGTAGTTGTTGACCTTAAACCTGTTGTTATTTGCACCCTTTGATTTTTGATTGTATCCCTTCTTTTGATCTTTTTCTTGATCCTATATTTGCCCATGATTTTCCTGATTGGTTGATTGATAAATTGGGTCAATGTTGATGTGTTTGTTGATTGCTGACTGACCTGAGTGCCAAGCTTCTAAAAATTCTCTAGTGTGCTCCTTGTGCAAAACTACAATAACTTATTAAATTGACAGCTGACAAGTTTATATTTAAGTTATTTTCTTCCTTTTATAACATCAAGCATAGTTTTGTGAACGACCTCTCTTAGTTTTCACAATGTTACTTAAATAGATTCACAGAACAATCAATGATATGTTAAACAGAACACAAAAACGGGTATAAGCTTATAAAAATTGGGCATAAGCATTGCGGTGTAACAGTAGGTTGGAAGAAACACAGGGACAGCCAAACCAAAACATGGAACAAATCCATGAAGTCACTAACAACTGAATTGAGTCATGTTAGTAGGTAGAGACTACCACCACCTGGTTGGGGTCCACGAGACAACAGTAACCGATGGTTAGAGACCTTGAATGATATGCAATGGCGCATGTGCATCCATTCTTTGTCTTCTCTTAAATCCTATACCTTTGAAATCCTCATCATCCTTATCTTTCTCTCTTGAAACTCATCTCATTGGTTGAGACTTATCAAATAATATCTTCGAAACCCAATCTTCCCCCATCACCGCGAATACTTCTTACTACATCTACCACTGTGGAATTTCAATGGACAACTCCATCTTTCTGTGCTAATGTGTGATATAACGACTTGAACTGATGTACGTAAGTACATATACAAAGTTCTACGTTCTATCTGGCTGATTGACTACATAAACTGAATGTTAACTGGGAGTAACTTTTAATTTTGAAATCTCAAAAAGTATAATTCACTTTTCACAAAACCTAATTAGTTCAGAATGACAACACAGATTTTTTTAAATCACAATTAGATAACAAGTATATAATAGTAATAATAATAATAATAATAATAATAATAATAATAATAATAGTAAATATACCTACCTGTACAGATGAGCAATCTAAGATGGCTTTACATATCCGTTTTGATAAATTCACAGAGTCTATCCAATGATGTAATGGAAAAAAAATTTTTGAGAAAAAAAATTCAATAATTTCTTCATTGAAATATCTCATATTAAAAAAAAAACAATAGGTAATCAATCAATCAGCTGTTGCTATGTAATCAATTTCCTCTTATAATTATTCTCATACTTAGTCGCTTTACTCGAATTAATCAACAGAGTACAAATGATGTCAATAGTCTTTGAGGATAGATTTATCTTATCTTATCTTATGAGAATTAAGAATTTCTATACTTTTATATGATAAGCAAGTGACTTGGTGGAGTGTTTCAAGCTATTGAACAATAAGTCAGAAATAGATTATATCGGCAGGATTTTCATTCTCTACTGTGAATTATTATTTAACTGAAACTGTAATTAATCGAGCTTTAAGAAGCATAACAACAGGAATTGGAGAAACTCTGTCAGAGTCAAATGCAACGTAGAACTTCGTACGTTAGTACATTGTTGGGATAGCCAATCGAGAAGCCAACCACACACATAGTCGATTGATGAACTATTTGATGAATGTTCAAAATATTTTAACGACAATATCGATTATTTATATAACTGTATAAATACGTATGTTTTATTGTATATTTTTGGATTCCGTTAATAAGTGTTCTCCAACGTCTTCTGTCTTCTTATTTTACTGAAAGGTGGGAGTCTGACGTTCGGTGTTGTTATTTGTACAGTGGTTTGGCGTTACTCAACTACAGAACATAAAATACATCCATTCATGTTGCCATACTACATTAGCACAGAGACGCAATTGTCAATTCAAATCCCATAGTGGTAGTAGAGATAGTAGGAGTACTAATGGTAATAGAGAGGGGATTACGGTTCCAAGATATTATTCAAGAAGTATAATTCAGTGAGATAAGGTTAGAAAGACAAAAGAAGAGGTGTGGAAGAATCCAGAATAAAAAAACTTTATACATATATCAACTGAAAAAAAACTCTAAAAGATCGGTCATATTAAATATTAAACACAATACGGTTTTTAAATAGTACAAATTAACAAAACAACAATTGATTTTTGATCAGTTATGCAAGGTATACAGAAGAAGATCAAATGATTCGAAAGATCTACATAAGGTCATTGTTTAGGATGTTAGATCCTCAAAATTCGCTTGATAAATGCCTTATTTTGGTTTTCAAGTTTGGCAGCATGGGCTGATCAGTTGACCTTGAGATTTCAATTCCCACCAGGAAAATCCATGGCTGTGATTGGCTACTGTGTATTTTAGTGTGCTATTTTTGTGACTGTCCCAAGGACGTTTCTATGATGTATAAATAAACGAGAGTTGTATGCTTGATTGTACTGTGATTGTTGGGTGTTTGTAGAATATACTTTCTACGCTTACAATGCCATTTATCTTCATCTTTGGATTCAAGGTAGCCTACCTGGACGCTGGTAAAAGTCTCGTTCGCGTTTATCGACTAAGGTAAACTCGTAATAGCCTCAAGCATACTTAGTGACGGACATAACAGTCATATAATAATAATATTAATCAATCATCAGCTAATGCTTGAGATTGTTGAGTTTCACTGAAACCATGCACCGATCAGTGTTATACAACGATTAGGCAACTAAAAGTGCTAGACAATCGTTTCGTAGTAGTATAGAACTCTTCAGCAGTATGTGTAAACGAACCTACAAGTGGGAATCGAATCCTGGACCAGTCAGTTTTCTCAAAATGAATGCATGCGTAAATAACATGTAAATGCGACTGTTTGTAGTGACTACTTTCAATTGGCTTCGATAACTCCGCTAACTAACATACCCATAAGTAGTTAACTTATCGAAAACATGTTGACCACTTAAAGTGAATGAGCAACATTAATGTCCAATCGAACAGTAACTCAAAGGAACAATTTATTACATCAAAAAAGAAAACTGTCGAGAAAGCATTAAGTCATTTACCCTGTTGACGTTCACATGATGTCTGCTGAAATGTTCTATTGAATAAACAATCTTGAAAATGCATTGTAACAATGAATCCAGCACTAGTTCCAATCCATAAACGATCATTTATTGATTTTAGAGTAGTAATCACTGAACTAGTGGATTTCAGTTTAGTAGAAATATTTCCATTATCTGATAAATTTATATTAGCTAAAATAGTTGCAAAAAATGAGGAAAAAAATGTTTGTTACCAAGAACTATGCTACATATCAGTATGAAGTAGTATCATTGAATTGAAATCGAAAACACACATCAACAGAAAAATTATATTGTGGTGTGTGCTACTTATACGACCGATATAAGTAGTATAAGAAGGGACGTGAAAGAAGAAGTCCCACGGTCAGAAGAGGAAAACGGAAATCAAATGGAGCAAAAGCAAGAAGTAAATGGAGCAACAGTAGGAATGAAAGAAGGATGGAGCGTTGGAAGTCACGACTCAAAAATGGTGTGCAAATAGAGTGTTCAATGTAATATTTTCGTCTTGTTGGGCAATTCCTCTTCCAATGTTCGGTTCCTCCGCAAATATAGCATTTATTATTTCTTCCACCCTTTATTCGTAACGCTGCCACCTCGCGTTGTAATTCTTCTATCTTCTTCGCGACATCATCAGCCTGTCTTTCACACGCTACCGAGGCGACTGTTGAGTTCATCAGTTGTCTTGTTACTTTCGCCAGCTCGGTGACGTCTATTGGTTGTGCCGCGTTCACCAGTCTGAACTGTTGGCCAACCTCAGCAGGCACACTTTCAATGAATTGCGACGCCAGCAGCTGTGCTTGCGACTCCTCATCCGAATTCGGCAGACCCCGAACAGTCTATTTGCATACCATTTTTGAGTCCTGACTTCCAACGCTCCAGCCTTCTTCCATTCCTGCTGTTGCTTCCTTTACTTCCTGTCGGTACTCCATTTACTTCTTGCTTTTGCTCCATTTGCTTTCCGTTTTCCTCTTCAGACCGTGAGACTTCTTCTTTCACGTCCCTTCTTATACTACTTATATCGGTCGTATAAGTAACACACACCACAATATGATAATAAGAATACTTCAAACAGTATAAACAAATATCCACATTTAGTTAGTGTATGTTTAACTTCAAATTGTAATTAACATGGCAATATGTGTAGAAAATAGCTGTGTAGCTCTATCCTGTTTCGTGAACGTTAGCACCTTTGTTTAGCAAAAAAACTACACACTCAAAAACTACATTAGATGACCTGAAATCGGTAATGCAAACATACAACATTTGCATAACTTTTTCTTTGTACCGTAATTTTAATTGCCTTCCTTTTTATCAGTTCTTTTTGAAACTAAATTCTGTGTGTGTGTATGATTGAATTATGGTAAAAGTATATCATATTGACGAGTTAAATAGATTTTTACACATTTGAAATCATCAATCAATCATTGTTAGACCACCATTAGAAACATGGAAGCACTGAAAGACGACCGTTTCGTCCTGGTATGGGACTCATCAGCAGTGCGCATCCACGACTCCTGCACCTCGCAGGATTCGAACCCAGGACCTTCGGTATTGAGCGAGAACGCCTAACCATCGGACCACTGGGTTGGCGGCATCCAACGGTGTTAATGTCTAACTCTGATTGATCAAGGGATTTTGCGCGACCTCACCCATTTGGTAGTTACTGTCTACACCCAACAGGGTTGAACTCCATTGGTCACGTCTTCTCAACTAGAACTCCGAGAATTTCCTCACGAAGCTAGTTACTAGTGAGCACTGTTACGATATTTTCGGGCAGAGTTTTTGGAGGTTTGTGTTTTTACACATTTTAAATCATCAATCAAATAGATTTAAGATAGTAGGTAGGTACATCAGGGTTTAGTGGGGAAATTCAAAACCGTAGCATGTTAAGAGAGCTAACATTGAAACCTATGAAACAATTAAGTTTTTATGATAATTTAAGTTGATAGAAATGATAAGACTAGAGAAATAGGACATAACTGAGTGATGCATAAAATGAGGATCAGAAACTGATCACTTTTTCATTGAAGAAAACACCCGAAACTATGAATTAAACTGCACAAAAAAGCCTTTAACAGGATTATTTGGGTAATGAACAAACTGGTTTCGAATAGGAAAAGGGAGTTTCAGTTAACATTAGCATACACATTATGATACGTTTCAACCAACTACTTTGCAATAGAGAAAGATATTCGCCTATCTTGTGATCTTACTAGATGGTTAGGATCTCTTCATTTTTTGTAGCCATTTAGGTATGTATATGTTCAGTGAACCTTACTTGACGATTCCAATTGTAACTCTCTACGTAGGTGTTTCTGAGCAATACAAGTGAATTGATAGACATTTACATGTTTGAATCTTTTGATAATGATGAGTTGATCTGCGTAAATGTTTTTACTGACAACTAGTTAAAGTCTTTGTGTGTTAATAGAAGACTATTTTGACTCATTTCTAAATGGTAAGATAGTATGGACTCGTTTGCTGTCTTGTTATATTGCAATATTTCTATCATTTGCATAATCGTAATTTATCAATGTTCCACTTAAGAACTATACTTCTTCCCCAATAGTATCTTTAGTGTAAATACGATTGATCCTACTGAATAAGCTCTATTAATCCATATTTGTACTTGACTCAACAGCGACCATCAAAACCACGATATTCACCTGTTGTCTATGGTGGCTTTCTATATACAGAACACATTTTTATTGGAGCATCACGTCTTTTTTTAAATACTATGTCTAGAAAGAGAAGTTGGTCATTCATATCAATTACAACCTTTAACACAATGTCTACGTCTGTGGTGTGTGCTAATTATACGAACAATATAAGTAGTATAAGAATGGACGTAAAAGAAGTCTCACGGTCAGAAGAGGAAAACGGAAAGCAAATAGAGCAAAGGCAAGAAATAAATAGGGTACCAACAGGAAGTAAAGGAAGCAACAGCAGGAATGGAAGAAGACTGGAGCGTTGGAAGTCAGGACTCAAAGATGGTGTGCAAATAGAGTGTTCAATGTAATGTTTTCGTTTTTCCATACTCTCGCATAGACCGCCACCCTATCTACTACTGCCGCGACCTTCAGTTTCGAAAGACATAAAGAACACCTTGTATATGGTCTAAAATTTTTACGTATTCGTCTTGTTGGGCAATTCCTCTTCCAATGTTCGGTTCCTCCGCAAATATAGCATTTATTATTTCTTTCACCTTTTATTCGTAACGCTGCCACCTCTCGTTGTAATTCTTCTATCTTCTTCGCGACATCATCAGCCTGTCTTTCACACGCCACCGAGGCGACTGTTGAATTCATCAGTTGTCTTGTTACTTTCGCCAGCTCGGTGACGTCTATTGGTTGTGCCGCGTTCACCAGTCTGAACTGTTGGCCAACCTCAGCAGGCACACTTTCAATGAATTGCGACGCCAGCAGCTGTGCTTGCGACTCCTCATCCAAATTCGGCAGACCCCGGCGCAGCAATCTTGTCAACTCCACGGCCAGCACGAGTGGGTCGCCATCCACAGACAGTCTCGCCTCTCGTAACTCCTGGCAACGACCCCAATTGAGAAGACTGAGGCAGGCTCGATAGATTGTATTTAGTAAATTTACACTCTTAGTCAATTAAAAATGAAAACATTACATTGAACACTCTATTTGCACACCATCTTTGAGTCCTGACTTCCAACGCTCCAGCCTTCTTCCATTCCTGCTGTTGCTTCCTTTACTTCCTGTCGGTACTCCATTTACTTCTTGCTTTTGCTCCATTTGCTTTCCGTTTTCCTCTTCTGACCGTGAGACTTCTTCTTTCACGTCCCTTCTTATATTACTTAAATCGTTCGTATAAGTAATACACACCACACGTCTACACATTTATGACTATAATGTTATCAATGGATTGTTTTCACAGATATATCTTTTGAATTGAGTTTTCAACTGGATTTTCAACGTATGCCATAAGCATATCAACCAAAGACTACCCACAACTAACGTCATCGATTTGTCGAAACTACTTCCTTTCTCCAAATGTTTATTGAAGTCGTGACTATGTAAAAACTGACACACTCACTATAAATTCAAAAAAAAAACTGCTTTCACCCTTATAACCCCTTCTCTAATAATAATAATAATAATCTATTATCCAGTCTAGTTTTCATACTGTGTACTTTATCGCTCTATTTGTTTTCCTGTTATCTATCATTTCGTTTTAACGAATATGCATGTGATAAGATTGTTTGTTTAGAATGTATTGCGCAAATATATAAATCGCATAGGTTTGAAAGTTGTTATCTTTTTACATCATAATCTAATTTGTCAGAGTGTGGTGCGCGCTACTTATAAGTAGTGTATGACGCGAGTAAAAACGTAATGTCTGGCAGCAGAAGATGGGGGAAGATCAAGAAAGGAAGAGTGGGAACACAATGGGATTTGTATGAAACGCATGAACAGTGGTGAAATGTCAGACAATGGATTGATGTTTGCAACAGGAACAGTCCAGTTCGATAGGATGCATTGATATTTTGCAAATTAACGATTTACGATATGATTTTTCTATTTTACCAATTAACTCTGTAATTTGAGATAAATACAATTCGGTTGCGTTCACCTGTTTTCTCATTCACTACAAGAGTATAATTAATTCGTTCAACATGATTTGTGAATTTCTGAAGGCAATTTGAAAGATTCTTGATAGTTGAAAATGTCGCAGAAAAAACAAACTAACTGCATCATTATTCATCGTTAAACTAGTCTTAAAAGCATTATTCCCCTCGATTCCAAACCACTATTCAGTCAGTCAGTCAGACGCAACGTAAAACTTCGTACGTAGGTAAGTACATCAGTTCATGTTGCCATACCACATCAGCACAGAGATATAATTGTCAATTCAAATCCAATAGTAGTAGAGGTAGTAAAGGTATTAGAAGTAATCGTAGAGGTTAGGATTAGAAGATATTATTCAAGAAGTATGATTCAGTGAGATAAGTTTAGAAAGACAAAACTAGAGGTGTTGAAGAATCCAGAAGATTAGGATTTGAGAAAACATAAAGAATAAATGCACCGGCGCCATTGCAAACGGTTTTGAGCCATGTCATTCAGCGTCTCTAACCATCGATTATTATCATCTCGCGGACCCTAACCAGGTAGTCGACAACTACCGACATGGCTAAGTCCACTCGTTAATGACTTCATGGATTTCTGTCATGTTTTCCAAACCACTATTACTATCATATCAAGGCTTAATTTATTCAATTCTAAACTTGATGTCAACTTTTAATATTTAATCCTAACTCCTAACCATAAAATGAAATTTTAATTCTAATCAGAGTTTTGATCTAAATTAGTGATTTTAGATTTTCCTATGGTAATTATTCATTTCAATCAGCAGTATTTTGATAGGTGTAAACGTTCTACTGTACTAAGGGCGGAAACTTGGAAAAGTACGAAAGCCATCATCCAGGAGATATAAGTATTTATTAACAGTTCTCTAGGCAAAATACTAACGATCCATTGGCAAGACACCATGAGCAACAACATACTGTGGAAGAGAACAAACCAGATTACAGAGGAGGAGAAAATCAGGAAAAAGCACGTAATGTGGATAGGACACACATTACGGAAAGCACCTTACTGCATCACAAGACAACACTTCACTTGGAGCCCTCAAGGTCAAAGGAAAAGAGGAAGTTCAAGGAATACATTACGCCAAGAAATGGAGGCAGAAATGAGAAGAATGGACTAAAATTGGACAGAACTGGAAAGGAAGGCCGTGAACAGAGTATGCTGGAGAATGACTGGTCTGTGGCTTATGCTCCGTTGGGGGGTAACAGGCGTAAGTAAGTAAGCGAGTAAGTAAGTGAGTAAAAGTTGATTTATGCTTTCTTAAACGTCAGCAAAGTAAGTAAACTTTCACCACTATTTGCTATCGTTCATAACACTATGAACTATTCCTTTATTTTTGTGATTAATTCCCATCTTTAAAAAGTTAATACGAACTATAACAATCTAAATTGTTATTTTACGCAGTTAAAACAACATTAACATGTAATTGAACAGAGAGAGAAAAAAAGGAAAATTTATTTCAATAAAACAAAATAAAACAACAAACTTACTCATTAAATTCATAATTATTTGATTTAAATCAACAGTTTGTATTAATTCATGACTTATAACATGATATAAACGTAGAATAGATTCACGTCTTATCGATATCCATACACCATCTTTATACCATGACATTGTTTGTATTTGTGCATCTTGAATTGCATACACTTTAAAACTATTTTTTATTTTTTATTGAGAAGAGAAAAACATAGAAGAAAAACAAAGATATTAAACAGTATTCATCAGAGAAATATGAAGAAATAACTGTTACGCCTACACGTACACACGTCAACTTGATATACTTGAACTATTACGAGTTAACATAGTCGGAAAACGAGAGCGAGAATCGAGGATCCGGTGACACGACATACTACTCAAATCCGATTATCCCAAACCGCATATTTAGTAAAAATAAGAAGACGTGATATGAAGTAACTCCGCCAGTAGAACCTTAGGGGCTACTGCCGGTCCCAAGCCCGGATAAAGGAGGGGGGTTGGACATGGGGTTGGCGACCCTATTCCGTTGAAATCTCACTCGCCAGAAAAACGCTAACCAGAAATAATAATTCAAACAATTTTAACTCAGCCCTGGGAGTTGGAGGAAGAATTATGACGTCTCGTGATGAAAGCCGAGTTTCCTCGGAAGTCACGAAGCCGATGCCTCTTCTGACAACCACAGCGACCATTCTTTTAGGTACATGGAACGTTCGTACATTGTGGGATACTGGAAGACTATTTCAAGTTGCGGCAGAAATGAAAAGATACAACCTCGAGGTGCTCGGCATCAGTGAAACGCATGGGACAAAAGTAGGACAACTCAGACTAGCTTCAGGGGAACTGCTGTTATACTCTGGTCATGAAGAGGCAAATGCTTCACATACACAAGGAGTTGCACTGATGCTGTCCAAACATGCACAAAAGGCACTGATAGGATGGGAATCTGACGGACCCAGGATCATTAAAGCATCCTTCAAAACAAAGAAACAGGACATTACAATGAACGTCATCCAATGCTATGCACCTACCAATGACTACAATGACGACGTTAAAGATCGATTCTACGAAAGGCTGCAGTCAATCGTCAAGAAATGCTCACCAAAGGAGTTGACGATTCTAATGGGAGATCTAAATGCCAAGGTTGGCATGGACAACACTGGATATGAAGACATCATGGGACGACATGGACTGGGAGAAAGGAACGAAAACGGTGAGAGATTTGCAAACCTATGTGCCTTCAACAAACTGGTCATCGGTGGCACAATATTCCCGCACAAACGCATTCACAAAGCCACATGGATTTCACCGGACCACACTACTCAAAACCAGATTGATCATATCTGTATCAACAAAAAGTTCAGAAGGACCATGGAGGATGTGAGAACCAAGAGAGGAGCTGATATCGCTTCAGATCACCATTTGCTGGTCGCCAAAATGAAACTGAAGCTAAAGAAGCACTGGACAACGGGGCAGACAACATCACAGAAGTTTAATACGGCCTTTCTTCGGGATACCGTAAAACTCAACGAATTCAAGATAGCCCTCACCAATAGGTTCCAGGCATTTCAGGATCTACTCAATGGAGAGGAAGCAACATTGGAGTACAATTGGAAAGGGATTAAGGAGGCAATCACTTCAACATGTCAGGAGGTCCTTGGTCGCAAGAAGCAACATCACAAGGAATGGATCTCTGTTGGTACTCTTGAAAAAATTGAAGAAAGGAGGAACAAGAAGGCAGCAGTGAATGTCAGCCGAACAAGAGCAGAGAAAGTTAAGGCACAAGCTGAATACACGGAAGCAAACAGGGAAGTGAAGAAGAGCATCAGAGCTGACAAACGAAAATATGTGGAGGATCTAGCAATGACGGCGGAAAAGGCTGCAAGAGAAGGAAACTTGAGACAATTGTACGAAACAACAAAGAAGCTCGCCGGGAACTATCGTAAACCAGAACGACCAGTGAAAAGCAAGGAAGGCAAAGTAATCAGCAACACTGAACAACAGCGAAATAGGTGGGTAGAGCACTTTAAGGAACTATTGAATCGACCAGCTCCACTGAACCCACCCAACATCGAAGCAGCATCCACGGACCTCCCAATTAATATTGACGCACCTACGATTGAGGAGATCAGTATAGCCATCAGACAAATCAAGAGCGGCAAAGCAGCAGGACCAGACAACATTCCAGCAGAGGCAATGAAAGCAGATGTAGAAGCAACTGCGAAAATATTTCACATCCTCTTCAAGAAGATTTGGGATGAGAAACAAGTACCATCAGATTGGAAAGAAGGATACCTGATCAAAATACCAAAGAAAGGCGACCTGAGCAAGTGTGAGAACTACAGAGGCATCACTCTTCTCTCAATACCGGGCAAAGTCTTCAACAGAGTATTGTTAAACAGAATGAAGGACGTCGTAGACGCCCAACTTCGAGATCAACAGGCCGGATTTCGGAAGGATCGATCGTGTGCTGACCAAATCGTTACATTACGAATCATTGTGGAACAATCAATTGAATGGAACTCACCACTCTACATCAACTTCATCGACTACGGGAAAGCATTCGATAGCGTGGATAGGAAAACACTGTGGAGGCTTCTTCGACACTACGGGGTGCCTGAGAAAATAGTCAACATCATACGGAATTCTTATGATGGATTCAACTGCAAAATCGTGCACGGAGGTCAGCTGACAGACTCTTTTGAGGTGAAGACCGGTGTCAGGCAAGGTTGCTTACTCTCACCCTTTCTCTTTCTCCTGGTCATCGACTGGATTATGAAGACGTCAATATCTGGAGGGAAGCACGGTATCAACTGGACAGTTAGGACGCAGCTGGACGATCTGGACTTCGCAGATGTCCTAGCTCTTCTATTGCACACTCAACAACAAATGCAAGAGAAGACGACCAGTGTAGCAGCAGCCTCTGCAGCAGTAGCTCTCAAAATACATAAAGGAAAAAGCAAAATTCTCCGATGCAACACAACATGCACCAACCAAATCACTTTTCATGGAGATACTTTCGAGGACGTTAACAACTTTACATATCTGGGCAGCATCATCGACGAGAAAGGTGGATCGGATGCAGATGTGAGGGCGCGGATTGGCAAAGCGAGGGCTGCATTTCTACAGTTGAAAAATATCTGGAACTCCAAACAACTTTCAACCAAAACCAAAATCAGGATTTTCAATACAAATGTCAAGACAGTTCTACTGTATGAAGCGGAAACTTGGCGAACTACGAAAGCCATCATCCAGAAGATACAAGTGTTTATTAACAGTTGTCTTCGCAAAATACTTCGGATTCTTTGGCCAGACACCATCAGCAACAACTTACTGTGGGAGAAAACAAACCAGATTCCAGTGGAGGAGGAAATCAGGAAGAAGCGCTAAAAGTGCATAGGACACACAATACGAAAAGTACCTAACTGCGTCACGAGACAAGCCAAGAAACACATTACGCAGAGAAATAGAGAAAGATATGAGAGGAATGAACAAACATTGGACAGAACTGGAGAGGGAAGCCCAGGACAGAGTTGGTTGGAGAAAACTGGTGGGCGGCCTATGCTCCATTGAGGGTAACAGGCGTAAGTAAGTAAGTAAGTAAGATATGAAGTAGAACCTGTATTCTACAAACATCCAGAAAGTACGAGGTCCGAATCCAGAAGAGAATCAGGATCCCAAACTAGGAATCCGGGTCTGGATCATAAAATGATACAGATAATGCTTATTTATACAGTTAGGTCGAATAAGAATCAACATTGAAGTCTGTGACATTGACAGTTAGGACGACCAATAAGAACGAACATTTGAAATGACATTGACAGTCCAGACGACCAATAAGAGACAACATTGAAGTATTTGACTTTGATAGTTAAAACGACCATAATTTTGACCAATAGAAATCGACCAATAATTCTCTTAGGATATTGGATGAATATCCTAACAATAACATCGCAAATGAACGATACAATAGTTCGAACCTATCAATTGTAGGTAGTAACTCAATCGTATGCTTTTATGGGTATGAGGGCGGATGTTACTTCCCGGCTGTAGACAGTAGTAAACTACCGAAGACAAAAGGGTGAGGTTGAGCGAAATCTCTATATTGGTCGGAGTTAGACATCAGCACCCTTGGGTGCCGGGTTCAGTGGTCCACAGGTTAGGCGTTCGCAGGTTATGGGTTCAAACCATGCCAGTAGCAGGAGTCTTGGATGCGCACTGCTGATGAGTTCCCTACCAGGAGAAAAAGGCAGTCTTTGTAATTACGGTCTAACAATGACTGAATGGTGATTTCATTGTGCGGAAGACAATAACTCTAATTGAAGGAATGATACAATAGTAGGCTTTGTACTGTTTAAATGCGTAACATAAAATCAATGGGTTGTAATTCATTAAAAATACAGTTAATATTCCAACTGATTGAAATATTAGGCTTTCAGTTAGAAAGTCATAAATGTAAATAAATAAATCAGAGCGAATATGACTACCACAACTGTGATATTTGATATATTTCAACTACCAATTGAAAAACATTGTGTTCTCTTGAGAAGCATAACTGTTATTTAAAATTTAATTATTTATTGCATGCTTTATTCAATTGATAACTCACATACAGGATGAAAAATAGATTTTGGATAACCACTACTGGTCATAATCCATTGAGTCCACGCTAACTTGTGTCACAGTAGGCTATATCAAGGCAATCTGCATAGAAAGTATATAAACCAACCAATCAAAGTTGATCGAACCACAGTCAAAAATACGAATCGATTTCAAATAGAATTCTCAATTATGTTTTTATTTTCCTTTTCCTAGTATCAGTATATTTATTTGATATTCATATACTACAAACAAACTGAAAACATTGAGATTATGAATCGACCATTGTTAGACAATCATTAGAAGCAATGAAAGAATGCCGTTTCGTCCTAGTATGGGACTCATTAGCAGTGTGCATCCACGACTCCTGTGACTCATATGATTTGAACCCAGGACCTTAGGTATCAATGAAACTCAACAATCTTCACAATTTTATGATGTAAAAATAGATAAGGGTATTATTGATTGGTGTAATAATTGAAACTAGAAAGGATTGATACACTTATTTTGTCTCGAGTACAAAATCCTCTCCTAATTGTGTTTACACAAGATAAGTTGAAACAGAATTATTTGATTCTGAATTAGAGACCTAAAGGGTAATATAGTCTACTGAGGAATCTCATACGAAGATGTAAGAGCTGATTAGTTCTTACTGGATTTTCAGTGGTCCTGTATATCATTTCGGTTTATCACGAAAATAATCTTCAGATTAAACTAGTCTCTAAATCAGACTGTACTCCTTTGAGTCATGACCTCTATTTTATTTTTCTGAATTTATCTCACTGAATTATACTTCTTGAATAATATTTTTGAACCTTAATCTTCTCCATTACCGCTAATAGTCTATAATCTTTACCCCTTTAGTATTGAACTGTAGATTGCGTATCTAAGCTAATGTGGTAAGGCAACATGAACGTATGTACCTACGTACGAAGTTCTACGTTGTAACCGACTGAATGAGTAGCAATCAAACAATTTTCCGACTAAAAGTTGTTTATGCAGAGAGATTGATTACGCAAAATGTAAGTAACGAGCCAAAATGGCAATTATGAAAAGCTAATCAGAAGACATGGAGAACATTGCAAGAGAATACATCAAGTTAGCATAGTCAACCGTTGGACGACAGTGTTTTTGAATATAAACAGAATAATTAGAAACTAGGGACTGTTGAACGACTTGTTACGTGTGAATTTAAGATTCCTCAGTATCGATGTGCGTATCTACATAGCATAGAATAGAACTCAAGACTTAGGCTACTGAATAGTCAGTAGTATATAAGATTCCATGTCTTCAATTTTGGTTAGTTTTTTAATACAAAGAAATCAGACACAAGAATACAAACACTAGATATTGCAAAACTATATTACAATAAGTCATAAACACGAACAGAAGAGAATTACTAATCGACAGAAAAGCTAACAATTGCTACTCTAAGATATTCAATATATTGGGGACTTCAATCGAGTGAATGATAACCATCTTATATATCATTCCAATAAGTTGATCGATTTATGTCAGCTTAACTTTATTAATTGCAGGGCTATATATTCAATCAAGTATTAGTTCATTCTTCAAAGTACATTGAAGCAAACAATCCCTTAGATTTACTGACTACCTTAGGCAACAATGTAACCATGTTCGGAATGCGGTTTTCCCCCTCGAAATGCAAAATGTTGCTTCAAGATTGTGTCGCATCGGTACCTGAACTAGTGGTAGGGAATGAAGCAGCTGAGCATTATGACCGCTTCCCTTATCATGGGAGTCTTATCAGTGCCGATGGTCTGGTGATTGATGAGAGCTCAGCACGGATACAGAAGGCTCCATTGGATTTGGCCATCTTGCGTCACCTATAGCGCAGACGAGATTTCCGTTTGCGAACCAAAGGACGAGTGTACTGTGCAGCAGTTCACTTCGTCTTACTATACGGCTGTGAAACATGGCTGCTGAGAGTAGAGGACATTTTTAGATTGCTTGTCTTCGATCATACGTGTCTCCGAAGCATTGCTCGTGTATCCTGGGTCGCCCGAATGAGCAACGCTGTTATTAGGAAACAGGTGCTAGGTAAGAATGGCAAATCAATAGATGAAATAGTAAAACTTCATCAGTTGAGGTGGTTGGGACATGTGCTGCGTATGCTTAACCACCAACTGCAGCGACGAGCTATGTTTTGTGGTGTAGGAGTAGGTTGGAAGAAAGTTAGTGGTGGCCAAACCAAAACATGGCACAAATACATGAACTCACTGACAAGTGGACTGACTGATGTAAACTTGAAGATTAACAATTGTAATGTTTAGTTCAAACTTTACTATTAAGGAATACAATTTTTAATTATTAAATATACCTAATGAATTAACATTTAAAAATAGAAAAAAAAATCAAAGAGAAACAAACATTTGAAAAGAAACAATAAACTAACCAATCATCTAATTGTAATGTAAATGCATTAATCACTAAAATCCGATTACGATAAGCAGTCCATAAAGAATTAGTTGGTGGTACAGTTATTGTACAACTAATAGAACATTGTGGTCGTCCACATGTAATAACACAAGCTTCAGTGAAATTCCATGTTCCTATTAAGGTATCATCTGTCTGATTATAAGTATCGTTAGATGAACGTAGATTTTGATGAGAATAATGAAGAGTATTAGTGGATTGTTCAGACGATGTAATGTTATTACTACTATTATTATTATTATCCGGTAAATTAGATGAGGTTGATGAGGATAATGACAATTGTGACATGGATGTTGAACTGACAATCGGTGCTTGTTTAATTGATTGATTCGATATGGAATGACTTAAAGATGCATTGTTATGATGATTATTATTGATTCTATGAAAATGATGACGTCGAAAAACAACTAGTTGACCATTTGCTAAACTGACAAATACTTGTCCAGCTAAATGACTGTGAAAATAACATTGAAAAAAAAGAATAATTTAATTTTAATCACATAAATCAAAGCAGTTTAAGTAAGGTTATAAAGAAATTAAACGAAAACTTATATGCTAATCGGATTGTAAATGAGAGCTTACAAGCTGAGAGTTATCATGTTTAGTTTACAACTGGTAGCTTCACTGTAGCTCTACTGTATCTTATCGAGAATGTAACACACACAATAAGTTGGTCAATTGGCATAGAGAAAATGTTTATTCTTGGATGATCACACAATTGGTAGTGGATGGATTGAGGGTATAAATAAATGTTCAACAATGGATAACGAATCAAATCAGTAATGTAGAGGTTAGAGGGGGGTTTATGCGTGAAGCCAAAGCTTCTGAGTTTGATTCATGGTTGTAGGGTCAAGTATGAGTACTGATGAAGAGTTCTATGATGAAGCGGTTTTCTATTGATTCTATGCTGTCAGTGTTTAATCGGTCCATGATATCAGAGTAACAAAAAAAATACACAAATCTGTTGATAAAGCTAATAACCACTGCCACTTAAACTAGTTTAAACAATCGTTGAACGAAGTATAGATTCCATTGCAATGATAATAATTCACCCGGTGTAGATCTTAATTTCCGAAATTAAATGAAAATACAAATCCTCTCATATCAACAATGATTTCTATGCAGAGATAAGAACAAAAAAGGTGACATTTATCATTGGTGAAAGTAATCAATGCATCAATCCCACATAGAATAGATTTCCGCAACGTTTAAGTAATCAACCTAACCATGGACAGAAAATGAGGTTCCGTTACTTCAATAACTTACTAACGCCTGTTACCCCCAATGTGGTAAAGGCCGTCGTAGATCCTCCTTTCCGGTTCTGTCCAATTTTCGCTCATTTCACTGATGTCTGTCTCCATTTCTCGGCGTAATGTGTTTGTTGGCCTTCTCTTCTTTTGAGGGTTCAAATTGAAGTCTTGTCTTGTGGCGCACTTGGGTGCACTCCTCAATATGTGTCCTATCCACTTCCACCGCTTCTTCCTGACTTCGTCCTTCTCTGGAATCTGGTTTGTTCTCTCCCACAGTAGGTGTTTTTAGCTGATGGTGTCTGGCCAACGGATCCGAAACAGTTTGTGTAGACGACTCTTAATAAATACTTGTATCCTCTTGATGCTGGCTTTCGTAGTTCTTCAAGTTCTCGCTCCATACAGTAGAACTGTCTTGACATTTGTATTGAAAAATTCTGACTTTGGTGTTGATTGATAGGTGCTTTGAGTTTCAGATGTTGTTCAATTTTAATAATACAGTGCTCGCTTTTCTAATCCATGTCTTCACATCTGTATCAGATCCACCTTGTTCATTAATGATGCTGTCCAGACATGTAAAGGTTTTTACGTCCTCAAAGGTATCTCCATCAAGTGTGATTCGGTTGTTGTATGTTATGTTGTATCACTATTACCTTAATGATGTCATTAATAAAATAATTTGTGTCGAAAAATGTACTGGGAATGAATAAGAAGTTCAATATGAAACATTGTGAAGTTAGAGTATGCTGCTGCATTTAACATTAAAACAGAGAAAGCCACCAACGGAAAGGTAAACAATTTACATATGAGCATTCAGGTAACGATGTGTTAAGGATTTAAGTGAATTACATAGCAAGAAATGAAATTGCATTTTTCATTTTGGTTCACGTATGAGTTATGTTATTTAAAGGTGTTAGGATATTCATCAAATATCTTAAGAGAACTATTTTTGGAAGTCTAATTTTATTGGTCGACTCCTATTGGTCAATATTATGGTCGCTCTAACTATCAACGTCACATACTTCAAATGTTGTCTCCTATTGGTCGTACTAAGTGTCAATGTCACTTCAAATGATGTTTCTCATTGGATGTCCTAACTATCAATGTCACGTACTTCAATGTTGTTTCTTATACGACCTAAATGTATAAATACGCATTATCTGTAACGTTTTATGACCCGGAACCGGACCCCTAGTTCGAGATGCTGATTCTCTTCTGGACTCGGACCTTGTATTTTCTGGACGCTTGTAGAATACATGTTCTTCTACTTCATATCAAGTCTTCTTTTACTTAATGGGGGTTGGGTTAGAGTAGAATGTTGTGTCGCCGGATCATTGATCCTTGCACTAGTTTTCCGACTAAGGTAAACTCGTAATAATCGAAGCATATCAATATGACATGTTTACATATGCATACGTAACAAGCTTCTATGATCTTGTGTTGTAAAATGGATGACAGTATACTAATTGATCTGTTACACTATCTATTCGTACATCATTATTAATCAAGTGTGTTTCAAGTAGTTTTTGTCAATAACGGATATCATCAGCTGAAGACTGATAAGCATAAACCAATATCAAGATAGACTACTGTGTACAATAAGAAGGAAACTAGAAAGATGTGAACAAAACACATCAAAGAAGCGTACAATGAAAATAAAGGTGCAAGCAACGACAGACTTAAGCTCAATAACAACCAATCAAAATCGAGTTGAACAGAACAAGCTACGAGTCATACGTAAAGCAATTCGAATACTCTTCACTTCTTCTATCTGAAGTTTGTACTAATGATGATGATGTTGTTGTTGTTGTTCAGAAGAAGAATAACAATAATGAAAGCTCCACAACCGAAAACATCCAGCTCAGAGGACGAAACACCACCAAAAAAAACACACGTGATATACACTAGTTGTGATGACTTGGAAAATAACACAAACATTTTAACTATTCACACCTATATATGTATTAGCGATAATCACGTTCAATATAAACTTATGAATGGCAGTTGCATTAATAATAGAATGATTAAAATAGAATATTTGTAAATATCTTTGTTTAGATGGTTGGTTGCTTAATGTTTATCTCATATAGTACAATTTTATGATTATCGTATCATTTTATCCATTCATAATAAGAAATCGACATCGATGAATGAATGAATGAAGAAACAATAATTGTTCATGCATAAATGTATCTAGGTGTGTGTGTGTGTATATATATATATGAGTGTAAATGTAACTTTCCAATACGCGATAAACATCATTTACATTACGAACGGATCATTTTCAATATTATAACAACATTGTGTGCATTTCATTGGCTAATTCAATAAAATTAAAATGTATGTTACATAATAATAATGAACAGAGTTAGAAAACCATGTAAAGTAAGATATAGAATTACAAATTCGTTTGTTTCTTTTTTAAATTACAAAAAATAACGATCGAATAGTAGAGCAAATTAATTATTTGAGATAAAACAAAAAAAAACGTAATTCAGTTTACAGTTAGAGTTTTGAAGATTTTTGTTTTTACGCATTTAAAATCATCAATCAATCGTAACATGTGCTCATTCATTAGTGACTAGCTTTTTCGTGAGGAAATTCTCGAAGTTCTAGTTGAGAAGACGTAACCAATGGAGTTCAACCCTGTCGCGTGTAGGCAGTAACTACCAAAGAAAAATGGGTGAGGTCGCGCAAAATCCCTAGATCAATCAGAGTTAGACATTAACACCGTTGGATGCCGCCAGCCCAGTGGTCCAGGGGTTAGGCGTTCGCGCACAATACTGAAGGTCCCGGGTTCGAATCCTGCGAGGTGCAGGAGTCGTGGATGCGCACTGCTGACGAGTCCCATACCAGGACGAAACGGCTATCCAGTGCTTCCAGGTTTCTAATGGTGGTCTAACAATGATTGATTGATGATTTCAAATGTGTAATTCAGTTTGTAAACTGTTCGATTAGTACACACAAAAACATAGTTGATACAGTATGATCACTGGAAATGTATCATACAAAAATAAAATGATAATATTATGAGAAAACAGAAAAGAAGAAATTATTTCAAAAAAAACTCCATGGATAAAACACTCAACTGCATCACATGACACGAATTCACTTGGAATACTTATGGCCAACGGAAAAGAGAAAGGCCAAGGAACACATCACGACAAGAAATGGAGACAGGTCTGAGAAGAATGAACAGCGATTGAACTGAACTGGAAAGGGAAGCCCAGGATAAATTTGGTGAATAATGGTAGGAGAACTATGCTCCATTGGAGGCAACATGAGTGAATCAGTAAGTAATGGAGAGAAGTATTCAGGTTGAGAGAGTACAGCTAAGAATGTATTTGTACAGCAATTCATACATTTAGAAGGTGAATGTTATATCAAAAGGGGAACATTAGAGAGATGGTAGTTTCCAGAATTGATTGATGATTTTGTAAGTAATAATTAATTAGATTACTGTAGGTATATTCGATTTATCCTAGGCTTTTGATTAATCTATTTACTAACTTGGTACAATTTATCATTCTTAATCTTTGGCCAGTTTATTAGTTACACCCACTTTTGGCTTGCTTATATAAAATTGTGTTTTTTCATCTTATGGTGTGATGTAATCTGGTATTCTTATATATAAAGGATGTCTGTTTGAAATATAGAGATAGTGGAAGCTGATTACAGATTTCTGGATTAGAGTGGCACGAAAGACTTTTATCTGAAGTTTGCGCTGATTATGTTGTTCAGAAGAACAATGAAAGCTCCACAACCAAAACAACTAGCTCAAAGAACTAAACACCAACACCACAATCATCCAACTGAGCTACAAATTTTCTCCATCATCTCAGACGGGAAGAAGCTATAAGGTGGTCGACCAATAAGGATTTACAGTTGAGTCAACGTTATTGGTGTTGAAAACAGAATTCTGATTGGTGTTTTGTTTTCGTCACGTGATATCAGTTAACAGTTAAGGACATCACAGTGACCCTCAC